CTTGGAGGGCTTGCCCTGTGTTGATTGGTCAACTGGTTGTTATGGCCCATAGGCCCTCCCAGGGTGGTTGCTATGCTTTCTACGTCCTTGCTGTGTACTTGCTGTGCACACCCAGGGTCGAAAAGCATAGTGCCACCAGCTAACTTCTGATTGGTTCCTTGTCACGAGGCAGGCATCTGACTTTCTAGTGTCTAGGACAAGGTCATAGAAGCACATGTTCGGCCATTATGGCTGCCAAAAGGGAAGCTGGTCCCTTCAGGTGGAGCCTTTCTTTTTTATATATAATTACTTTTTTATTAATTTATTTTTTACATTCCAATCCTGAGCCTTTCTTTTAAAGAGTAGGGGTACATACACCTGCCATGAGCAGGTGGGTGAGAGGCAGAGCGAGGTTTGCCTGGATTACAGTAAGCCTTAGGACATAGCTGCTGAGCAATAGCCCATAGACCAGGGTGGGATTTACTTAATTTAGGTGCCTTCTTGGCTGCCCCGTGGAACTGTTGTGGGTACCTGGGCTGGCCACGGTGACGTATAGCCCTCTCTTTGCTGAGCAGGCACCCCATCCTTCTTCTGGTGTCTGGCATAATTCCTGGCACATCACCAACACAAAACAAATGCAAAAAGTCAAATGAATAGAGCAGAGTCCATTGGGCCTAAATGACTACAATGTGTGTTATACCTTCCAGTTCTGTGTGTGGATGTTGTTTGGTGTGTTTGATGACCGTGGTGCATAGGTCTTGCAATAGACTTCTGTGCATAACTTCATTATTCCCTTTAATGCCTGTGTGTAGGAATTGTATAATTGCATGTGTCCCACACGCCATCCAAACAGTACAGTTCTTGGTGTGGGAGGCAGGTAGCCTAGCAGCACAGCACATGCTTAGCCATATGAGACCCAAGTTCAGTTCCCAGCACCACACAAGTACAGTTCTGACCATGGCCATGCCGTTTTCTCCAAGTGCCCCAGGATGAGGTATCTCCATTTGAAGATCACAGAGTGAGTGAGGTATATACATCTCAACAGCCTTCCCCCTTGTCTTAGTTACTTTTCTGTTGCTGTGAAGAGACACATGACTGAGGCAATTTATAAAAGAAGGCATTAAATTACAGTTGCAGAGGGGGCAGGCTAGCAAGAGCTTTTGAAATCTCGAAGCCACCTCCCAGTGGCACACGTCCTCCAACCCTTAGGGCACACCTCCTAATCCTTCCCAAAGAGTCTACCCACTGGAGATAGCACTCAAGTACATGAGCCTATGTGGCCATTCTCATTCAATCCACCACACCCCTCAAAAGTGACCTGAACCCAGAGGAGTCCAGAGCCTATTTAAGAGAAACAAGTCTTCTTTTAAGAAGGGAAAACATATTCTCAACTTTGGCCATGCTCAGTGACCACACTGGTCATCCACATGGGAGTGGAATAGAGTCAAGTACTTATTATGTGCCATCTTCCTACAGATGGCAATCACAGGCACCACACCACAGGTGCTTCCTGGAGTTTGTACCAATGGGCAGAGCAACTGTAGACACAGGGTAGCTGCTTCTAGGACCAGTAGAAAAGCCCACTGGAAACCTTTTCAGTAATTTCTCGATCAAGTTACGTGGCCCTGCTGAAAGGAGTTATCAGTGCTTCATATCCCAGGAGCTGTTGTAAGGCTCAGATTAAATACTATACATAAAAACATACATTATGGGGCTTGCAGATTTAGCTGAGTATTAGAGCACTTGCCTAGCAAGTGCAAGGCTCTGGGTTCAGTCCTCAGCTTCAGTAAATGCACACACACACACACACACACACACACACACACATACACACACACACACACAGAGAGAGAGAGAGAGAGAGAGAGAGAGAGAGAGAGAGCTTGGCATACAGACTGCTGGAATCTGTTAGCTGGTATTATTATTATTATTTAGTGTGTCAACACAGTACCAGGGAGGTTGGAAAGTCAGAGTGAGCTGCAGCTTTTATTTATTATTGCACCTGCCGTTCCCCCCACGAGCAGTGATAATAAGCATTCACACTGTCACCATCAAGTCACAGAAACGTTTTGTTCCCAGGTGCATTATCTACCTTTAATCAAAGCTCAGCCACAGGGCCCAATGTGCTTGAGCCTTCAGGCTCAGGAAAAATTATTCTGTGCATTCACAAACTTGTTTAATCACTGTTTCCCCCTTAACCTCACATCCTGACCTTCTGTGCCTTCACCTTAATGAGATTCATGCTCGTTGCATCGCAATAAAAGAAAAAACCAATTATAGTGAAGTATAAAAGGGGCCAATGTCAAAGAGGCAACTGGGAATAATCTTTCTGAGCATTGGCATGTTCCTACAGAAGTCACCAAAGATGGCAACCTTGTCATTTTTCTAGTGAAGAAACTAAAATACTAGCTGTCAGAGGAGATGCAACTCACTTTGGGGACCCAAGATAAACCATTAGATGCCCCTTTCCAGCACTAACTATCATCCCAGTCAGGCTGTTCTTCAAGCTGCTGTGTGTGTCACTCAGAAAGGATTTAAAAAAATAAATCAGCCCTAGGGCTGGGGAGAGGGCTCGGCCAATAAATGTAAGGACCTGCATTTGAATTCCCATATAACAAGCAAAAGCCAGAATCTGTGAAAGACTCCTGTACTCTCAGCTATGGAGAGGTGGGAGGCAGAGGCAAGCTTGTAGACCAGTAGTCTGGCCTCTGCCTCTCTGGTGAAGTCGCTGGCCGATGAGAGACCTTGTTTCAATGTTTGAGAGACCCCCGACGACTGAACCAATGTTGTTCCCTGGCCTCCCCACACATGCTATGCATGCACATTCCCACACCAAGATGCATCCACACTCACATGGAGTGAGACACATAAACACACACACACACACACACACACACACACACACACACACACGGAACTCCATATTTTCATCATCAGAGACATTGTCGCTAATGCAAAGTGAAATAGTATTACATTGCTTGTTAGTGACGCTCCTTGGAGAGGAAACTTGGTTCTGTACTGCTAAAAGAAAGTGTTGCTACAGGCAATGTGATATGTTCTCATTTAAATATAGAGCTTATTCAGTAAATTGAGGTTTTTGGATTTCACACACAGACACACACATGCATATGCACACATGGCTCACACACACTGAAGTGCTGAATATCATATTTTAAGAAAATTGGGGGCTGGGAGGGAGAAAAAATGGTAAATTTGTCTCTCTTTTCATAAAAAAGTCTATTATCTCTTGTAATAGATCCATTTTCCCCAAAGGGCATCTCCAGATGATCAAAACACTATTAATTTTCATTAACTTAATTTAATAAATAAATGCCATTCAGACACTTAATGAGGCACTGGGAGAGAAGAACAGAGGTGGTGTTGTAGAATCGAGTGTGACAGCTCCTGGAAGATGGAGGGGTTACCCAAAAAAATGACAGAAAGGAATCTTATAAGTGGAATGTGAAGAAAAAAATCTAAGACCAAAATTGTGGCAGAAATCTAAGCATTTTCACTGAGTTGTTGTTGTTTTAATAAATGTACTTATATTCCTAAAATCCTCTGACAACTAAATAATTTATTTGGTAGTCTCAGAAAGTATAATAATAAACTGTCATCTTCAAGATAAATTTAATATTGACTCCTGTGCACTGACTAACACTGGCTCATGGTTTGCACATTTGTCTTTCTGGCACAATGTAGTCTCATCACATGGCCATGACTCTCTAATTTGCTTTACTGTGACTGTGGGAGATTTTAAAACTCCATTTTCTGTTTTTATTGCTTTGAGGAAGTTCTCTTGGCCATGTATGCAGAATGCGAATAGCAGTAATAGTCTTTGTTGAAACATTTATTTTCATCTGCTTTTATCAATTTCTAGGGATTTTTTCCCACTGAAATACATGCTAAAAACTACTGATATCTGTTTAGTAGAACTGATGCACATTTAAAAGCTGGAACCTCCCGAAGTACGTGTGTTCTCATGTACTGTCAATTCCCACCAAATATATTTGATCCTGCATGTCCATGTCAGTGTGGTGCATGACAATTCATTTACATAGTTTTGCATTCTTACAAAACAACCCTTGCATGTCCATGTCAGTGTGGTGCATGACAATTCATTTACATAGTTTTCCATTCTTACAAAACAACCCAACATTGTTGTATTTGGTTCTGGTGCATGACAATTCATTTACATAGTTTTGCATTCTTACAAAACAACCCAGCATTGTTGTATTTGGTTCTTACAGCAACTAAAAAGGGAAGGATGGAATTGAGGCTATACCTCAGTGCTAGAATGATTGCTTAGTGTAAGTCCCTGGATTTGATCCCTAGCAACCCTCCCAAAGTACAAAGTAAGATTTTACAAAAGGACAAAGGGTGAGTTTTATTATCCCCAGCTGACAAGGTGTTGGGTATGTGGGGAGAGGCAGGGGGTGGTAAGCTGAAGAAGTCTGGCAACTGGTTTCAGGGCCCAAAGGCTAAGGAATGGACTGGGGTGGAACCCATCTGCAGGCCTCAGCCAAGGGTCCTTCTCCACAGCACAGCCTCACATACGGGGAGACCAGGCAGTTCCCCATGAGGCCTTAATGGAGTCCCTTTTCCTCACTCTCTCTCCCTCTTCCTCCTCACCCTTCCTTCCAACCTCCCCTTAATTGGCTAATGGAGTCTCATTCTCATATTACAGCTGCACTCACCTTCCTGGTTAAAATGTTTTTCCCCTCATCGCTTTGTCATGAGCTAAGGCAGGAAGTTGTCTCTGTCTATCCCCACTACACATACACCTCACTCACTGGCCTCCTTACTGTCCCCTGAACTTGACAGGCACATTCCCTGCTAGACATTACTGCCACTGCCAGGCTGCTAGGACATGCCTCCCCTGACCTCTCAGGCCGTCCTCAGGTGGTGGCTACATCCCCAACTTCATCTTTCCCTTTTTAATTACTATAGGGACCAAATACAACAATGGTGAATTGTTTGCAAAAATGGAAAATTTGCATAAATGAATTATTATGTACCATACTGACACAAACACACAATGATTAAATGTATTTGGCAGGAATCAACATTAAATGAGAACACAAATGCTTCAGGAGGGTCCAGCTTTTAAATGTGCATCAATTCTTCATCGCTTCCCTCCCATCCTGATCCTCCTCTGCTGTTCAGGCTTCCATAGCAAGCACCACAGTACACCGTACAAACAACAGGAATTTTTTTCTCACAGTTTAGAAGGAATTCTAAGATCCAAGTGCTGGCAGATCTTGTGTCTAGTGAGGGCCCATCTCTGGGACACAGGCAGCATCCTCTAGCTGTGTCCTCCAATGGGCATAGAGGCCAGCCAGCTCTCTGGGGACTCTTTAAAAGGACACTAATCTATTCATGAGAATGCCATGATCATGACCTAAAGCCCCAGCTGCTAATGCTGTCACACCTGGCGATTAGTGTCCACATGAGTTTAGGGAGACACAGCATTCACTATAATTCTTGCAGAGGACCTGGGTTCAGTTCCCAGCACCAACTGGGTTCACAGCCATCCATCCATCCGTCCAACACCTTCTTGTTGCCTCCACTGACCTCGGCGGCCACCAGGCATGCACATGGTACACATGCATACATGCAAGCAAGCACTCATACACATAAAAATAAAATAAATAAATATTTTAAAAGTTTGCAATAAAATTCCTACGTTCTGCCTACCCCTTTCCTTCTCCCATAGTTTATACTTCTCCATAAAACTCACCACTTGACATAGATGTTTTAATTATCCATTGTTGATTGGCCTGCCTCCCTTGTGATAATATAGATCATAATAAACAGATCAAAGATAAACATTTTGAACAGACCCACAGGCCACCCCAGCCATCTTTGTGACCTGCCCATTAACCATTTTTCTATAAAACTGAAACTAACATATCCAGGCAAGTGTTATGTACAATATTTTCCCCATGGCTTAGCCTTCCCCCAAAGCATGCCTGGGCTCTGGCATAGTCAAGGTTCCTTCTCTACTGAGGGCTCTTCTCACATGCAAGCAGGCCAGATTACTGATGCTTTTCTTCTCCCTGCAAGGGAGCTAATAAACCCATTATTGTCTGGAAGCTGCAAATGAGAGAAGGGAGACTGCAGCTTTGAAAGATCTCTGTTGCCTACCAGGAATATCCATTTTCATTTTATGATATATAATTATACTATATAACAGATATTATATGATTATTATATTATAGATCATATGATGCAATAATAGATTATCAAGTCAGATAATGTTTTCTTTAGCACCTACTATATTCCAGACATTGTGTTGGAATGAGTGAAACTCTTCTTTGTCCTTAGATAGCCCAGTGTTAAGTGTGGCAAAAATAACTTACCTGAACAATTAGAACTGTTTAAAAACTTCAGTCTGAGAAAATAGACCACTAAAAAGTACTATAGTGCCACACAAGTGGGAAATTTCTCCAGAGAGATGGTGTTACGTCAGAGTACACACCACACTGAGATTTCTACTCACTCAGCCCTGCAGCCCTTCCTCAGCAAGGCACCCTAACAACACTCTGAGTACAGGCATCAGAGGCCTGACACAGGTCATGCATCTGTCTACTCATTCTTTCAGCAAATAGCTATGGGCCACCAGAGCTGTGGTCCCAAGACACGTAAGGTCTCTCCCTGCCCTCTGTGGTCTCTGAACCAGCCCAGAGGTGCCTTGGTGCTAGAGGCCTTCAGCTAGGCCTTGGCAGCCCTCTCCAGGCAGTCTGCTGCTCCCCTACTGTGCTCACCAATGGAAGACATGACATCCATCTTCCCAGGCAGCCCCAGGGCACACTGCCACAGCCTCTCCTTAGTCTACCCCGCGCGTGCAGGCTGCAAAGCCAGAAGAGCTGCCACCTTCTGAAGGATGAAAAATAAATAAATCACGCTTCTTACTTCTGTCGTGTTCTATTTCTAGGCCTGCAAGAAAAGGGCGAAGAATTTGCTAGCATGCTTACCGAACTCCTGTTTGAATTACACGTCGCCGCCACACCTGACAAACTCAATAAGGTCAGAACCAACCCATTCTGTGTCTTTGGTTTTAAAAAGGGGTTGGGGATGGGGAGATAGGGTCTCTGTTGTAAGATACCACAGATCCACAGGAAATGGAAGAACACGGAACCCCTATGGCATGTGGGGGAAGGGGAGTCTGAGGTCGATAATTAGTATCTGAGGAGCAACAAGATGTATGCAGGGCTTCTGAGACCTGCCTTCTGTAATTTTACTAGTAATTATCTTGTGACCTTGAAAAAGTCAGTTACCCTCTCCTGGTGAGATAGAATTTTTTGTCAGAGGACAGTTTTCTTCAAAGTGAGGTGAAGGGGAATCACCAGGGGACTTTTCCAGACTTTGCTCCTGGCCTTGCCTCTTAAAGAGACATGCCAGTTTTAGAGAGATGAGATTCATATCTCTCCTCCCACTGGGACTGCTGCTGCTGTTCGAACAGATCTTAGGCATTCCAGCTTCCTCTAACAGCAGAGTGCTTTTTGCAAGTTAGTACAGGGTCTTACTGTGGGATTTCTTAAGAAGACACTAACCATTAATTATTCAAGGCTATGTAATTTTTTTTGTCTCTCCTTTTCTCTTTTTATCTAGCTTATCTAGCAGAGGTTTGCATAGGTGCTCACCTATTATAATAGCAGAGGTTTGCACAGGTGCTCACCTATTATAATTCGTGAAGAAAGGGCAGAATGGGATATAGAGGTGGTGAAATGAGTAATTTCTTTCTCTCTGTTAGGGGTCATTGATCTGGCAGGTCGGGGACTTGAACACGGGAAAATTGCTTCATTTATCTCCTTGCAGCACCTGCCACTGCTTGGAGGGGAGTGTGGGGACTTATCAGTTGCATGGGTCTGCCTTTGTCCCTAAAAGGGGACTTTTAAGGGTGTCTCTCCCCTATCCTGCTAGCTCTTAAATTACTACCACTCCCCCCACCATTCTGACAGAACTGGCCATGAAACATGAAGAATACACTGTAGATTTTACAGCACGTCTTTCATTTTTACTCTCATCTGAATATCATTTTTAAATGCTCTTTTTAGGGGCTGAGAGATAGCTCAGAGATTAAGAGCACTGACTGTTCTTCCAAAGTATCTGGGTTCAACTCCCAGCATTACTCACAACTGTCTGTAACTCCAAGATCTGACACCCTCACACAGACACACATGCAAGCAAGACATCAATGCACATAAAATAAAAATAAATTATTTTTAAGTGATCTTTTTAAAGTTCTCGGACCCTTTGATGTGTTCTATATACTTCCATTCCACCCTCTTTTCCTAGATTATAGTTTCTACAGGCCAACTTGCCGTCTAAGGAGGGTCTGGGTTGAAATGACTTGGTTTTCACACCCCCGTGGTAAACTTACTGTTTGGTGGGCACCATTGCAGGCCATGAAGAAAGCTCATGACTGGGTGGAAGAGGATCAAAGCCTGGTATCAATAGATGTGGCAAAAAGTTCAGAGGAGGAAGAGAAAAAGGAAGAAAAGGAAGAGCAAGCTGAAGAGCCTGAAGAAGACAAAGTAGGGGAGAAAGGAACTAAGACTGTAGAGGTAAATCCACTCTGCATCATCCATAGTTGTCTACGATAATTTTATTAGCAGCCACAACTCAAGTGAGGATAGCCACCTTCCATTTACACCGTGCCCTACATTCTAGAAAGTGAGAGGGAAATAGACGTTCCAGTTTCCCTGTTCTAAGACAGTGTGTGGCTTAGCTTCCTGTGCATTTTGTAGCTTTTCTCGTAACTTTATAATTTAAAAGCAGAAAGATCTTCCGGAGCATAATTGATTTGTCTTTACAGTAAATCTCCGTCTTCTATGCAAATTTGTTACTATAAATTGTCTTTATGTTCCCTCACTAATGAGGTAACTGAATCTCTTTTTTTGCTAAAAACTCTCATTGCTGTGGCTTCTTTCCCGCAGTTTAATACATTTATATGTGTATACTTTATGCCCTGCCTATGCTCCAAAAGTCATCTGCAATGATTGCTCATTATGCTGGCTTCTAATTTTAAAGTGACTCAGGTAGATCATTCCAAATAATCACACTCACTGAAGTACTTCCATTTGTCTTTCCTTCCACACTCCTTACTCACCACCCGCTTATTGTGTGCCCAGTGTCATTCTGACTATTGAGGACACAAGTGTGACTAGGTTTGTCTTATCTCTGGGGACCTGGCAGCACACACACTCACATGCACACACACATACACACACACACACACTCTCTCCCTGTCTCTCTCATACACACACACACACTCACATACTCTGTCTCTGTCTCTCTAATAACACATACTCACATACTCTCACACACACTCACATACACTCTCTCTCTCTCTCTCTCTCTCTCTCTCTCTCTCTCTCACACACACACACACACACACACACATACACACTGTATACATGGTTTGTCTCTGTACAGAGGGTAGAGGCTGACTTTTCATATCCTTTCCAGTTACTCTCCTCCTTATTTCTTTTTGAGTCAAGGTCTCACACTGAACCTGGAGCTTCCCCAATTGCCTATGGCCAATGAGCCCCAGGGACCAGCCTGTCTCCATCCTTCAGTCCTGGGGTTAAAGCTGTGCAGCATTTATGTGGGTGCTGAGAATCCAAACCAGGATTCAAGCTCATGCAGAACTACTTTACAGACCAAACCATCACCCCTGTCCTTTGAGTTATATATGGATACAGGATTACATCATCTAGGGGCCAGGGTGTAGCTCAGTAGTACAGTATCTGTGTAGCACTGTGTCCTTTTTGTTCATGTGGCAGGGATTTTTGAAAAGAGGCTGATTAGTGAGTTACCCTCTTGGGTGCATTCATTTCAGGAAGTGTACATGTTATCCATCGAGAGTCTGGCTGAAGTAACTGCGCGCTGTATCGAGCAACTTCATAAAGTTGCAGAGTTAATTCTTCATGGACAAGAAGAGGAGAAACCAGCTCAGGACCAAGCAAAAGTTCTGATAAAGTAACCGGCACTTTTAATTCTTACTTTTTAAATTGTGTGTGTGTGTGTGTGTGTGTGTGTGTGTGTGTGTGTGTGTGGTTCAAATGCAACTGAAGAGTTAGATTTTCATATCAACTGTTCCGTTACTCTATGGTCATTTTAAAAAATAAGGACTCCCTTAGGAAATATATTATACAGCAATAAATAACAATAATAATAACAATAAATAACAACATAACATAGGAGTTATGAGATTTAAGAGGAGACACACTAAGCTGGGCAGTGGTGGCACAAGCCTTTCATCCCATCACTTGGGAGGCAGAGGCAGGTAGATCTCTGTGAGTTTGAGGCTAGCCTGGTCTACAAAGTGAGTTCCAGGAGAGCCAGGGCTACGTGGGGAAACCCTGTTTTGAAAAAAAAAAAAAAAAGAAAAGGAGATATGCCAAATCATTCAGCATAGAGCACTGAGGCTAATTCTACTTTTATGCCACACATACACAGACAGGATACTTTAATGTAACTTCTCAGTTACCTGCACAAAAGTAGGCAGACTCACACCACCCTTTTCAGAGACTTTACCTGCCCTGTGTATTCTATTTTTTGGGTGTGATAGTCAGTAATGCAAGCCAGTTCTCTACAGGCTGCATTCTTGCATCATACATTGTAGTTTATGTTCTTCAATAAGCAGTTGTTGTTGTTATTAGTTTATCTAGTGTTATGCCAACACAAATATACATATATATGCACACATGAAAATAGTTGGTGTGGAATCCTGAAAATAGAAAAACAGAGCTAAAATTAAGTCATTAACTTTTATGTGTATATATCACAACATGGAATTTTAGCTGACGTCCAAATACCATTCTATTATTATTGAAACAAAGGAGCCAAGTAGCTGCCAAGGAAATACATTGGGACACACACTATCCACATTCACTTTGTAAGCTCACTAATCTTATTACATCTGACAAAGCAAATTATGTATTTAGAAAGAAATTATATATTATGCAATAATTCTAGAGAGATTGTGCACCTTTTAGCATATGGAAGGAAAAGAGAAGGACAAGAAGGACTTTGAAGCTGAGAGGCCAACCTGGTCTACAAAGCTACACAGAGAAACCCTGTCTAGAAAAATAAATAAATAAGTAAATAACAGAAAGACTTTGAAATGCTGGGGACAGCATCTAGGGACTGCTTTGTCTCTTTGCCATATGGATTGGAAGGAGGAGGGCTGAGTCTCAGAAGTTCCAGGGCATGAATCCTGGGACTTTGCTGTAAGCCCCTTCCTGACTCCCTGCCCTGTTTGTCCCAACTTTCTCAAGCTGCATCAACCCCCAGCGGGTCAGTTCAGTGAGTGCCCTTCCACCATCTGCTCAAGAACATACAGCATGGGTCTCTGCTGTCTCCTGGCCTTGCTCATGATGCTTCCTACAAACTATATGGATGCCTACATGTAGTTCATCAAACCTAATACTTAGGCCTAGGGGTGTAGTTCAGTGGCAAGGCTGGACTAACACATAGGAGGTCCTGGGTCTATTCCACAGCAAATACAGAAGGAGTGGGGGGCTGGGAAGACAGCAGATTCAGTAAAGTACTTGCTGTGTTCCTCCAAGGAGCCCACTTCAATCCCCAAAACCCTTACAAAAAGCCAGATGAGGCTGCAGACACCAGCAATCTTGGAGTTGAAGAGGTGGAGAGAGAGGGTCCCTGAGGTTTAAGCTGAACTTGTGAGTTTTCAAGTCCAATGAGAGATCTTGTCTCAGAAAACAAAGTCGGACCCAGCTGGATGTAGTGGTGCACACCTTTAGTTCTAGCACTCGGGAGGCAGAGGCAGGCAGATCTCGAGTTTGAGGCCAGCCTGGTCTTCAGAGTGAGTTCTCGGACAGCCAGAGCTACACAGAGAAACCCTGTCTTGAAAATCCAATAAATAAAAAATAAATAAATAAGGTTAGAAAGATTAAGGAATGCTCAGATGTTGACCTCGGGCCTCCACACAGGTGTAAACACATACCTCCTGTCCCTAACATGTGGCGTATGCACATATAAGCACCTATATACACACAAAGAAAACTCAGAATGTATTGGTTAGATAGAGTCCTTATCTATCAAAACAGGGGGAGGAAAAAAGTCTTTTCACTGACTTTAGTGGATCTTCCAGTATGTAAGATTTTTAATCTGGAGCATTTTAATCTAATAGCATTTTAATCACCAATACATCATGAGCTCTAATTTGTTAGGACAAAATCAACCAGAACAGGCGTTATTTGGCAATTGTATTGATTTTAGTTTTTGTCATCTATGGTGTTAAGATAAACAAACTTACTGATACTGTCTTTCTTGCTTTATTTTCTTGGAGTAAAGACTGAGAAGGAGAATGGCCAAAGTAAAGTTTGAATTTTGAGATGTCCTAAAGACATTTTCTAGGGGTTCTTGAAGAATAAAGTAAAAAAAACGTAATCAGGATACAGAGAGAAACTGGATATGATGGAGCATGCCCAAAACCCAGCTCTCTGTAGGCTGAGGCAGAAGACCTCCTGTAATTTGAGGCAGGTCATTCTGGGCTACATAATGACACACTGCTGAAAGGGGAAGGAAGGGGTAGAGCGCTTGCTCAGCACATCTAAGATCCTGGGTTGTTCCCTAGCACCAAAACTCTGTGTGTGTGTGTGTGTGTGTGTGTGTGTGTGTGTGTGTGTGTGTAATGCCTGACTTTTAATCCCCTTTCTGCAATTACCACTGTATGTCCCGTGCAGGTTACTTGGCAGGTTGAGTTTAGTCATTAGATAACATGTGATTAAGTGCCTCGGTGAACATCCGTTATTTTAAAATGACCCAGATACTGGAGGAAAGCCACCTGGCCTGAATTTCCAGTCTTATGAAAACGATGCTCATGCCTGATATTTCCCTGCACATGGCTTTGATTCTAAAAGGAGGGCAAATTAATTAGATGGTTATTCCTTAATTAAGCTGGAAAGAAAACTGTGACTTGTGGAAGACTGTTGAGGAAAACTGCTCATTTCTGTAGAGTGACTTCAAACTTACACGCTGTCCTTTTGATGTCATACTGCATTCATGTCATTAATTGTCTCGAGGGGTAAGTTCCTTTACTTATGAAAAACTCCCAAACCTCTTTTTTTCCTATTTCAGATTGACCACAGCAATGTGCAATGAAGTAACCTCCTTATCAACAAAGTTTACAAATTCTTTAACCACTGTTGGGGTAAGAGTACAATTTGTAGCATTTTCTTACATTTTTTAGGGAAGAAGTCACAGAATATGACACCTTTGGAGATAATTCTGTAAGTGGAGCTGTGTCATGCTGTTTGTTAAAATCAGGCTGAGGTTGCCTCTCTCACCTCTCTAAATATCATCAGTCTAGGGCTCTCCTCTGTCTGTGGACTTCAGTCTACTGTCTGTCTGGACTGTAGACTCCAGTCTTCCATCTGTCTGGGCTGTGGACTCCAGTCTACTGTCTGTTTGGACTGTAGACTCCAGTCTTCCGTCTGTCTGGGCTGTGGACTCTAGTCTGCTGTCTGTCTGGGCTGTAGACTCCAGTCTTCTGTCTGTCTGGGCTGTAGACTCCAGGTTTCTGTCTGTCTGGGCTGTGGACTCCAGTCTGCTGTGTGTCTGGGCTGTGGACTCCAGTCTGCTGTCTGTCTGGGCTGTAGACTCCAGGTTTCTGTCTGTCTGGGCTGTGGACTCCAGTCTGCTGTCTGTCTGGGCTGTGGTCTACAGTCTGCTGTTTCAGACATCTGAGCTGTGGAATGAGTGATCAGGTATCTGTGAGCCTCGTCTTATTCATATATCAAATGAAAGGGTATCAAATGGAGGTTCCTTTCCATTGCTTATTATCTATGATTTCACTATTCAAGAATCTCTTATTAATATAATTAACTTTAAATATTATCACTCACTATTGCTCTCTTATTAGTCACGTATGATAAAAGTTTCAAAAGAAAAACAAAATGGCAACTAACATCTGAGTGTTTCTGTTCTCAAGATAATATCTTTCAAAAACTGCATTTATTTCCATGTGTGGCTTCTGATTACATATCCAGGTTGTCCTTTTCTGCCCCTTTTCTGTCCCAGGTAGTCTGAGTGGGCTGGGAAAATGGCTTCATAGATAAAGAATTTGAGGTGCAAGGACGGGAATCTGAGTTCAGATCCCCAGAGCCTTCCTGTAATGTCACTACTCTGGGGGAAGACTAGGGGCTCCCCCAGGTCAAGATGGCTGGCTAGAGTAGTCAAATTGGCTAGCTCCAGGTTCAGCAAGAAACCCTGTCTCAGGAAGTAGAGTATGATTGAGAAAGACCCAACATCTGGCCTCCAAACATATATGCACACACATGCACCCACACCCTAACACTCATGCAAACATGTATGACTCTCCCTCCATGCTACACAATACACATGGGGGGGGTCGATCTTATTATAAAGCCCCACCCTAGTAGGGCAGGAGGAGGCAACTGGGAACCATTCTTCTTTAACCTTCCTACTCTCCTTTAGATGCAAGATCTGATCCTTCCCAGAGACACAAGAGCCAGGTGCTAGTTAGGGTTTCTAGGATTGCAACGTACAATTCTCTGGGGATGACTGGAAGTCTGAAACCAGGATTATGCTCTCTCCTAGGCCTCTAGGAGTGGGTTATAAATTGCTCAGATAAACAGGGGCTTTATGGAAGTCAGTACAAGACTGTGAATAGCTCTTGGGACCCAGTGGTAGACCTCATCCACACTGAAACATCCCTGAAATGTTTCTCCTTTCACATTCCTTATTCCTGGGTGAGAAGTTCCAGAAAGACCATTGGCCTGGGTCAAATGGTCGAATGTTCACCTTGGTGTCACTCAGCAGTGGCTGGGGACAAGATTGTGTCACACAGACTCCCTAGCTGCTTTGGGGTAACTGCACTTTAGGTCAAGAGCAGTTCTCAAAAGAAACGGAATATCTGCCCCCATACTCCTGTAAGTGACTCTATGAATGAAAGGTGAGCTACAGGCCACCAATCCATTCTGCTGTTAGGAGTCTGATTTGCTTGGCATATCTTGGACTTACCTAATTTTAGGGTTTCAGCAATGGCATGCCATTGTCTATAAGCAGAGTGACGGGGAGATGGAAGCCATTGGTATGACAGGCTGGATGAAGCACACTCCTATACTCCAAGTTACTTGATAACAGGCTTTGGTGGGAATGGTATGTTTACACTGGAGTACAGGGCTGGCCTCATCAATTTAGGTCCCCAACCTCCTCTGTTCCATCTCCTCACTTTCTGCAGTTCACTAACCAAGGAACCCAAGTCCAGAGAGGTGACCGTATTCACCAGGGCCTCTTCATTGATCTCTCGGCTCCCACAGCAGCCTAACAGGCATCAAATAGATAACCAACTGTTTAGTGTCCCCGGGCTGTCTGTGGGTTTTATACAATTTGTGTTAAACAGGCTTTTCTCCTGGGGTGGGTCATGTTTGTGACAGTGTTTTCCTCTCCTTGTACCATGTCATACTCTAGCATAGTGCTTCCCAAACCTTACCATGCACATCAACCACCCGGAGACCTCATCCAAATGCAGAGTCTTAGTCAGTCAGTCTGTGTGAACTGAGGACAGAGATTCTGCATTGTTAATAAGCCCTCGGGCGACCAAGCCAGGGTCTGTTCCTGAGCCAGGATCTCCACTGGCTGAGCCAAGTTTCCAGCAGGTGGGTATGTGCTTGGACTTATAACTGTATACAGATACAAACGCATGTACAAACATTTTCAGGTGCAAAAATCAACAAATGTGTTGTCCATTTGGAGACAGTGAAAGTGACATCTTAAAATGGAGCTTGCAGGCATGCCACCATGCCACCACAAAGCCCCGTCTGCAGCTATGATGAATCATTTGCATCTGTCATTGTTTCTGTCCTCCAAAACAGCCATTATTCATAACTTGAAGCTAATGAGTGTGTATTGCTCTCCAGACTCCGTTTAAATTGCTCACACATCTCATTGATTCCGAAAACCACTGTCATTTTACTGCCCTCATTTTGATTATATCTTAGAGGTTTATTGATAATCACATAAACATGAAAGCATATCTCTATAATGGATTTTCTGGTTACTTACTAAAATGACTGCATTTTTAAAGAGGTTCTCCCCCACCTCCATTGTGGTTTCCTCAGCAAGGTATTACCCTCTGTAGAGTAACGCCAATGAAGGGCGGCTTCTCTGGAAGACATATTTAATTCATAGGCTTTTGTTTGCCATGGAGCCTCCCAGGTACAGTAGGGGAGGGCAGCCCACTAAGAATTCCCCATTAATGATTCATTGCTGTAGGAGTTGGCTGAGCAATTTAGATAGAGAAGACTGCTGATTGACAGCCCAATAATATAAATAAGGATAATGATCACCTCTGCCTTTTGGAGCAGCTGAAATAGGGTTTGTTCTCCATGCTGTACACACCCTTGTGCTTTTCAAACCTGATTCTGAAAACCTATTTGAAAGTTGTATTTAAGACTGTTTTCACCTTGTTGATCTTCTTGTAGATAACCCAGAACCAAGACTCATTTGCAGCTTAGGTGGGGGGAGAAGAAAAGAGGGAACAAAGAGAACAAAGAAAGAACAGACAGACTGTATTACCAGGATAAATAAGTGAAGGACTTAACCTATCTGGAGATCTTAAGAAAGCCAAAATGTGAAACGAAAATTGTTTTTTCTTTTGAAATTCTCTTTCATAAGAAATATATTTTTTAAATTCTTTAATTACTACTCATATTTATATATCCATCCCCCTCATTCCCTTGCCCTCCCATCCTCCCATGTTCCCCACCAGCCCCTCCCAACCCATCCCCAAACTCCTCCCCAGGGATAGTGAGACCCTCCACCAGGGACCTTCAAAGTCCATCATATCATTTGGGGGAGGGCCTAAAAAATGTGAAACTAAAATTTTTTAAATAAAAAAAAAAGAAAGTCCAGAGCCTGGAGAAATGACTCCTCAATAATTAATAGCATGTACTACTTTTGCAGAAGACCCAAATTCAGTTCTCACACCCACATAGAACAGATCATAACTGCCTGTAATTACAGCTCCAGGGAATCTGATGCCCTCTTCTGGCCCCTGAAGACACCTGCACTTATATGCACATACCCCACTCCAACATAAATACACATAATTAAAACAGGTAGAACAGAATTGTTAAAGATAAACATCTCAATAGGCTACATAGTTATCTTAATTAAAATGTGCAGTGAGACATGATGCTTGTCTGTAATCCCAGTCCCTAGAATCCTGAGGCAGGAGGATCATGAGTTTGAGGGCAATCTGGGCTACATAAAGATCCAAAAGAATTTCAAACACAGTAATCAAAATCATGACGAATTCACTCTCAACACTGTAAGTGTAGCAGATCTAGATGTAGGATGGTGTTAGGCAGATAGTGCAAGTAGAAGACAGGATCCAATCAGCTACAAACTTCTAACAGTTAAGAAGATCTGAGTTTACATTTCTAGCAACGTGAACTTACACAAATCGCCCAGTCTTCGGCTATTTCTTCATCTAGTGCCTAGGTATACAACAACATCAACCCCCTCCTTGGATTGCTGGTAGAATTAGAGGTCACATGAGGGAGGTGCAGACGTGAAGGCTGGTCTACAGCAAGCACGCACCTTTCTCCTTTCTCTCTCTAAGACATCCCTCTACAAAGCAGTGTCTCACAGTTGATGTGTTAAGCCTTACAGTATGAGCCCCTAATCTGTCAATTTCGTACTTTCAATTTCACAGAGCAACAAGAAGGCTGAAGTCCTTAACCCCATGATCAATAGTGTGCTTTTAGAGGTAAGTAGCCCCCAGAGAGAAAAGTACTCCGAACCAAAGCAAACATTACAGCTATGTTCTTCTTCCCCCTAGTCAGCAAATGTTATCAAAATTCTAAATCTTATCACCAACAGTCTCTCTCTGTGTGTGTGTGTGTGTGTGTGTGTGTGTGTGTGTGTGTGCGCGTGCGTGCATGTGTGTACATTCTTGTAGCCCAGCCAGCTGTAAAGCCTCTGGTGGAGCAGCAATGCCTAATTTTCAAGAATTCCTGATTACAAAAGGAAATGCTAAGCTTGCAGGTTATTTCCTGCTACTGTCTCCCCAACAGAGGCAGATTTCTGCTGCCAAGTTTGACTCTGTGATTATCGGCTGTAATGAAGGATTATTGCCCACTGATGATTTTCATAAAAAACGGGCATTTCTCTTCGTTCATGACAACCTTTGGTGTAGCTGAGTCTAAGCTCCAGGTTAGCAAAAATGATGCAGAATGCCTGCCAATTCAACAATAAGGGTAGAGTCCCCAATGAGTGCTCACTGCCTGACCTGCCTGCTCACTAGGACTTCCTAGCACCAGCCTAAACAGATGGGAGGCCACTACAGCACTGCTGTGACCCCACTGATGGAAGAGAGAAGCAGCCCAAGATGCCTTCTTACTCTTAGAGCATGGGCACCATGTTCTGCATGTACTCAGTGGAGGAGGATCTTCCATTAGAGACCAGACTGTAAACCATTTGCAGTTGATAGCCACAGATGCAGAACACAGGCAATGCACATACCATCGTCTTCACATTTAGATGCCAGTGGAAAGCTTTGGTGATGACAAAGCATCAGAAATGCTACCTAAGAATTGATGGCAATATTGCGGGGAAGTGTGCCCCATTGTTAAACAAAACTGTCAATGGACAAAAACTAACAAAGTGGTGGCAGCGAATGCCATTGCTTAGGACACAGCCATACAATAGGGTGGAACCAACCAGAAGAGGCAGGAACTACAGGGACAAATACAGTGGAACAGACACAGCTAATAAAAACTCTGGAAGTCAAAGACAGAATATAGTACAAGAAAATCTACCTCTGGAAAGCCAGGCGTGTTGTATACTTGTAATCCTAGCACTTAGAGGTCTGAGGCAAGAGAATGGTGAATTCAAAGCCAACACAAGCTGTGTAGTGAGACTGTCTCGGTTCTCAGTCTCCTATCCAAACCTCTGTCCTGACTTCCAGATTAAATGTGCACATTAGTACATTAATTTACCATATTTATGCACCATAAATATGAGACCCAATATTTACTCACTGGCCCAGAAGAAATGTTCATGTTCTAGATAGCCTAACACCATTTTTACAAAAATCTCTCCAGTGCACTCTGTGCAGAGCTTTCTGTAAACCATTTGTGGTTTAGACTCTCATCTTTGTCCTGTGATTTCAGGGCCAGAGGATCGACCTGAGAAAGGGGTGGATAAGACTGGCCATACGGGGCCATGTATCTATACACACTCACATCCGTTAAAAGCCCATGGAAATGCTTTATCTCATTCTGAATGATGCCCCTTTGTTAATTTGCATAATTCAAGCCTAGACATACTCCATCAAAAGCATGTGTTTACGTTTGCTACTTGCACAAACATTGTAAGAATTTCATGATGTTGTAGTTTGAAGGTGTTCCCTCTCCTCAGATGAAAAAGAATGTTGTCAAATGGTGACAGCCATCGAAACTGAGCTATGAAAATATCGCTCAGCTCCATCTTTCCTTCTTGCAGGGCTGCAATAGCACCACGTACATCCAGGACGCCCTCCAGCTACTGCTCCCGGTGTTACAGGTCTCTCACATCCACACCAGCTGTTTGAAGGCTGAGACCCAGCTAGACTCCAGCTAGTTCAGTGGCTGGCCAAGTCTGTTCACTACACACCATTTACAGGGGACAGTCTTCAACATCACAGGCGGGACCACCCATCCAAGGACACTACAAGCAGTTTTGCACAGTTTTGCAAATACAGAGAGTTAACATTTCTCTTAATGTATATTGTTGTTTTATCAATAATTGTATTTTCATTATATTAACTTAAACTTATACTTGTTATATTGACATTTTCCTTTAATTTGCAGTTCATTCACAAATACGTGTTTCCCTGGTCAAATATGCTATATCTAGAAATCCATAGGGAGATCCTACATTTTTGTGCATCTTTGAAATGTTTATCTTTAAGTGCCCTATTTTTCTAAAACATGGATTTAAGTCAGTTCTTACACTGAACTTCATTTTGTTGTATAAATATCACAAGCAAAAATAACACTACTTATTTGGTTTTTAAAAGGGACATAAATATATTTTTATAGTCATTCATTTTGTGACAAGATTTATTGAGCACCTACTATGTGTACCATAAAGGAATATGACCTCACTCCAATAGAGACATGTTCTGAAAGATGACTTATAATAACTTTTGATATATTTTAAGATATGAAAACATTTTCTAAACTTTAAAACACTTGAAGAACCAAGTAAATTGGTGGTTACTTAAAATGTGCTATCCTTCAATTTATTACAATTTTCATTCTTTGAACTTTTTTAATACCAAAATTACCTCTAGGGTAAAAATATGTATGAAAAGGGGTGTGAAAAATATTTATTTTTGAGACAGGATCTCACTATGTAGTCCTGGCTAACCAGGAACTCACTATATAGACCAGGCTGGCCTCAAACTCACAAACTGCCTGCCTCTGATTCCCAAGTTCTGGGATTAAAGGTGTGCACAACCATGCCTGCTTGGCCTGAAGAAGTAGGATTTTAATTTAGGATATATGATGGCAAAATTGGAAAACTTGGATGTTTTTCAATAGAAAATTAAAGGGGTTTTAGCATGTAGAAGCCCAGACCTGCCTTCCAAAAATACCTACTAAACCAATCACACACACACACTGTGGTGCAAGGGTAAAAAATACTGGTGTGTGTTGGCCAAGTGGTATATTGATTCAGGGAGACGCCTCGAAGACCTTGCAGCTAGCAGTGGCAATGACATTGGGCTCTTTCTGAGCCGCACCTGCTCTTGGCAGGTTGGGGTCTGTGGCATGCTTCTGTTCCAGAGCCTCACTGACAACCATACCAGCAGTTCCAAAATAGTCATGCCCAGTGGCTATATCCTAGAGCAATTGATGTGTGTAGTCTTCAAAGGGAGAAAGTCACTATGCCTTTCTTTATTTCTGTGATAGAATCAACTGTCTCTGTTCCCTACAGGCTAAGTAGATATTTGAATATTTTCAGCAGCATTTTTTTGTGTGTCTGTGTTTTGTTTCTCAGCTGTATGTCTCCTGAAACAACCAAATAAAAAGCATAAGGCCAATTTATTTGCAACTCAGAAAAATAAAATTCTCTCATAAACCATCTGGAATGTTTCTGACATCTGGGATGTTTCTGATATTAAGCATGGTGGTGATGAACTGATAACAATGTCACATTTGCCTTTATGACTTCTATAATTCTTATGTACAAAGCAGAAGAAAAATCTAGATTTGTAATTTTTTCACAACAGGTGGGTTTTACATTAACTAGAAATATAAAAGAAAAACGAATGCCTCAAAGGAATTCTGCTCCCAGACATAGTCTCTCAGCCATCAGTGCTGAGTGCTGAGAAAACAAAAGGGCATGGGTTTGGGTCCCCAGCACCCATATAAAACCTGGGTGTACTCCCAGCCCAGGTATTGGAGACAGAAGACCCCTGAGGCTCACTGGCCAGCCATAATAGGTGAGCTCCAGGTTCAGTGAGAGACCAGGTCTCAAAAGAAAATAGCATGAAGGAACAGTAGAGGAAAATGGCCAAGGTGGACCTGTGGTCTCCTCAGACATGCACACAGGCACAAGGGCCTGCACAAATATGTGTGCACACCACGCATATACCTGATAGAGAAGTTCAAAATGCATGGTGGTGTATGCCTAGCACTCAAGAGACAAGGCAGGAAGATCAAAAGTTCAAGATCATCCTCGGTTACATAGCAAGTTCAAGGCCTGCCTGGGCTACACAAGACCCCATTTTTAAAATACTGCCTAAACATCTATTCAGTATACAGCAAAAGCTTTGATTATGCAACTAAGTTTTTTAAAAGCTCTTTAAAATAATATATACTATTTTTTAAGTAAGCAACATTATTGACATTTCATTTATTTACCTTTTCGTGAAAAAAAAAATGTCCAAGTTGCCAAGTGGAGACACGAACTGGACGTATTCCCTGATCCATGGTCTGTGAATTAAACTATTTAAGAGAGGTAATCATTGACTGCAGACCCATTGTCTAGGATTGCTTGCTCTCATTACTTGTTTCCACCATCACTTTGAAATAATTGCAGTTTTGCTTTGCTTTAAAAGCTGTCAAAACACATGATCAAGACCTGGGGAAATGTAAGTCTATTGCTGAATGAATGATTTAGCAGGCTTACCGTGGAAGTTCAGTATTCCTTCAATAATACTTCACATAAATTGGGTTCATTGTACTGTACACAATTACCCTGAACAAGCAAAGTCAGATTTTGCATCAAGTACAAAATAAATTCTGATCAAAATATTGAATATAGCCTGTGTTTGTGCCTTATTAAATAAAACGTGCCAAAACATGTTTCAAATTCAAAGCAAAAAACATTCAAGAAAAATTGCTTTAGGGCATTGATACATATAGATCTAAAGGACAGAGTCCCCACTCTTAAAGGACAGGCCTAAGTTAGTCTTCTCTCCCACTGAGAACAGGAGTATGTGCTATTTCTGGGTCTCACACAAACTCAGAGTTAAAGAAGCAGCATAACTCGCTGAAACTACGACAGAAGAAAGCCCTGCACACCAACAAAGAATCGTCAAACCCCAAAAAACATAGCGAGAGGGACCAGGAGTGTATTCACATTTTTAATCCCTGCAAAGGAATGGCATACCAGGATGCAGAGCACGGGAGACCAGAACTATGTTCACACTTACACATCCCTATAAAGGAATAGCACACACCAGACGCAGATCAAGAGGGACCAGGAGCGTGTTCACATTTAACGCATCCCTGTAAAGGAACAGCACACCCCAGATGCAGAGCAAGAGGGACCAGGAGTGTGTTCACATGTTTTAATCCCTGTAAAGGAACAGCACACCCCAAATGCAGAGCACGGGAGACCAGAAATATGTTCACACTTACACATGCCTATAAAGGAATAGCACACACCAGACGCAGATCAAGAGAGACCAGGAGTGTGTTTACATTTTTGTGAAACCTGTGGCCATAATACCCAGGAGAAACAACTTAAGGAAAGAACAATTTCCTTTGGGTGCAGTTTCAAGGGATTTAAGCCCATCCTAATGGAGAAAATACAGGAAACTGGGCAGTGTGCGGCTGTGGGAGTATGTGGAGGAGACTGTTCACATCATTGCAAATCAAGGGCGTTGAGAATCCAGCAGGAGCTAAATGAAGTCTTCAAAGGCCCCTTATGGCATGCTTTCACCAGCTAGCTCTCCACCTCCACACACCACTCCCAAACTTTCCAGGGCCTCCCTCACAAAACAACAAACAAACAAACATGCCACCAACTGGGGAATAGCCTTCAAAACATGTGCCTGAGGTTGGGGGGGCAGGGAGGGGGGAGGGGGACGACGCATTTCAGATTCAACCTATAAGGAGGCATTAACAATGTGCTGGCTGAAGGAAAGTACAAATTACCAGATAGAGCTCCAATGCAGGAAGCAAACATGTTCCTGTGCTGGGTAGAAATCACCTGCCCCAAGGTGTTTATGATTCCAGAGAGGCACCTTCTGCACAGGCTGGCCAGCCATGCCTGTTTAAGGAACAAAATCAGAGTCCACTCAAATTTACAAATTTTGAAATTATCACTGCATTTCTCTTTGTCCTAAAATGAAAAGTGCTGTGTGTGTGCTCACATGTACAACACATGAATGCACGAGCACACATGCACACACGTGCTCACAGGCATGCATGAGCACACAGGCTGAACAGATGAGACTCGTCATGCTACACTACTTCAAATGGTGCTTAATTTTATAAAAGTAATTACTCCACAGGGCCAAGCTGAGGTTTTGTTTTGTTTTGCTTTTTGATAATGTAAGAATTTGCTCTTTGATCCTTGTCTTAAATATGCCCTACATTCTAACTTTCAGATCTGGGCTTCAACTTGGCTCCTTCAATTACCATGCTTGTAAAGGCACTTCAGAAAAGATCACACTGGAAATACATCTTAGAATAGCAATTGGGTTCCGGTTTGTAGTTGATTAGAATTCATAATGCCACGGGAGTGGCTTCAGACCAGTCATTTTTCATAGGAAAGAAAATAAATGAGGTGCTTAACCATGTGCTTTACTTTCTGAGCTATCTCATCCCATAGGCAGGTTTGTATTTATTTTCTATATGTTCACCCATACTAAATGATCTTCAGGAATATATGCCACTAAACAGGTCTGAAGAAAAACATCATTTTCTTCTCTTTTTTTCTTTATTTTCCATCCTAAAAATAAGGAGTTATTGCACACTTTGAATGTTCAGCTTTTATGGTCAAATTATGACAACCCAAACAGTAAGAATGTATTGATGTTATTTCTACTATTTCTAGTGTCTGGGGTCATCACAGATTGGGAATAGAAAGACTGACTGCAGAGGGCTAGATTTGGGCTTGAGATCTGAATTAAATTTACCTTTGTCTGGATCATAGAGGGTTTTTCTCTGCATGAGCTGTTAGACGAAAAGCAATAGGATTATGTCTGCCTGTAGTGACTACAGCGCACCTGACTGGCCTGCCTCTTGCATTAGTCTCAAAGGAAGTTTAACCTGAAAAGAATAATGCATGGATGTCTTCAATGCCTTCACGGAGTGCAGAAATTTGGAGTGATTTTGAGCTGATCTATCTTCCTGCCCTTCATGTTCCACAGGCAGGCTTCTCAGATGTTATTTGGAAGGAAAAGCCAGTATAGACGCCAAGGCCAGATGGGTGAAACCTTGGCAGAAAGCAAAGCCAAGCTCTGCCTTTGAGTCCTTGCCATCTTTATCCTGTTTCTCTAGCAGGATTTTTTTTTTTTTACAGCCATTAAATACACAGCTCCTAAGACCAGTTTTTTTTTTCAATCTGCCCATTTTTCCTTCTCTTGGCATTCCCCTTGCCCCACTTTCCAGAAAACCATCCACTCAGAACTTCAACCATGATCATTAGTGTGTACATACTGTGTGCTCAGTGCTTAATGCATGGCTCCATTAAATAATCACAGTCACCTAACTGGGCAGTATGGATTATAATCTCCACCACAAGAACAAAAACACTGAGACCCAGACAAGTTATGTAACTGGCCCAGAGTTACATGAGTAACAATAGAGCTGGGATTCAAACCCAGATCAGTCTGAGCTCACTAGCTAGCATTTTGAACTACTGTATGGAACCATCCAATGAAAAGGGAAGGTCTTAGGGAGATCTAAATGCTCAGGTTTGCAGGCTTAACTCTCTGAAGCCCTGGGGTAGGTATACAAACAAAGCTTTATTGGTTGTAGGCTTTGCTTGTTTTCATGCAGCTGAGAATAAACAGAGACTAAAAGACCAGATTGGAGAATGTGTGGTTATTTGGTCCCTGGGTGGCTCTTGCCACAGGCTTTTTATCCTTTCACAGACATTTAAACCAAGCAGCTTAGCTGTCCTGTCTCCCAGGTACCTTTTACAACACAAAAACCTCTCCATTTCCTCTTCTCCCGCTGCTGCCTCTTCTCCGGTGCCAGGGAAGCCAGTCTGTAATCATTCCTGGACACTGAACATCTAATGGTTTCCTGGGCCATGGCAGTTTTTAATGCTCTCCCTGCCTTTAAGATCACAGCCTTGTCTAGACAATACTGAGTTCCATAAGGTTCTGAGAATTACTCTAAAAAAAATGCTGGCTGATGCCTCCTGCCTTCTGAACTTGGTACTGCTGCCAAGACACAATGGTGGTGGTGTTGATAGGGGTGGTGATGGTAAATATCGATGAGATGGCAGCAGCAAACATTACTTCTGGTGTTGCAGACACCTGATATAAGCACTCTGCCTCGAATCTCATCTGTTCCTCAACACTAATCACGTAAGGTAGCTACTGTTACTATCATTCCCGTTTACAGATGAAAAGCTCCAGTCAGAGAGATAAAATAAGCTTTCCACAATTATCCAACTAGCAACTATAAGAGCAAGGATTTCTAACCCCAGCTGTGTACAAAAAGCTAGACAGAGCCCAAGGATAAGCCAAGATTTGACAATAAAATAGAATATTTGTTCTTTTGCTTTCCCATTGGCTGAGCTCTTTGAGTCTAATAACCCCTGAATGCCCCTCTCTATATCCATAGCCTCAAGCAGAGCAATTGCTCCACAGTGTCTCTGCCATTAACCTAGAGCCCAG